TGGGGGCGATATGCTGACTCTGTAAACCGCTTAGAGAGGGCAGAAAGCCCTACGAAGCGGTATATAAGTCTAACTGCTATTGCTATAAGAGGAACTAAAGAGCCTCTTGATGCGGGTGAAGGAGGAGAGTGCAGAAGTTGGCTTGAAACTCAACATTAAGAAAACTAAGATCATGGCATCTGGCCCTCTCAATTCCTGGCGAATCGATGGGGAAGAAATGGAGGTAGTGACAGGTCTAACTGCTATTGCTATAAGTATGAGTCGGTTGCCAAGCGTCTGAATTTTCATCACATGACCACAGGGATACTGCAAGGGTCGTTAAGTGTGAAAAGCAGTCATACATCACTTTTTTTTCCAGTGCCGCCGTAACTTCGGACAGTCGCTAAACAAATAGGCCGTAAGTCAAAGACAATCTATAACTGCGGGGCTCAATTGCAGTCATAACTCGAGGAATATCCGTAACCCCAGCTCAATTGGAATCAAATTAATTCTCTTTCCCAGAATTAAAAAAAAATCTCTCTTTCTGTGTTTTCCAGGCCTGGAAAAAACGATGGTTTATCCTTCGCAGTGGCCGGATGAGCGGTGATCCCGATGTCTTGGAGTACTACAAAAACAATCACTCCAAGAAGCCGCTGCGGGTGATCAACCTCAACTTTTGCGAGCAGGTGGACGCCGGGCTGACCTTCAACAAGAAGGAGCTGCAGGACAGTTTCGTCTTTGACATCAAAACCAGCGAGAGGACCTTCTACCTGGTGGCGGAAACGGAAGAAGAAATGAACAAATGGGTGCGGAACATCTGTCAGATCTGCGGCTTCAACCAGTCGGAAGATCATCCGGGTGAGTTCCACGCTTCACATCGGGGGCGTCGAGAACTTTGGGCCCAGGAGAGCGGCGACAAATGAGGAAGTAGAAAGGTTGGACATCCACAGAACAAGGAAGAGTGGGAAGGGACCTTGGAGGTCTTCTAGTCCGACCCCCTGGTCAAGCAGGGAACCCTACACCATGGTTATCCAATCTCTTCTTAGAATCGTCCAGTGTTGGAGCAGCCACAACTTCTGGAGGCAGCGTTGTTCCACTGGTTAATTGTTCTCACTGTCAGGAAATTTCTCCTTAGTTCTAAGTTGCTTCTCTCCTTGGTTAGTTTCCACCCATTGCTTTTTTTCTTGCTTTGGAGAATAGCTTGACGACACCCCTCCTTCCTCTTCTTTGGGGCAGCCCCTCAAATATGAGAAGGCTTCTATCATATCCCTAATCCTTCTTTTCATTAAACTAGACATACCCATCAGAACAATGAATCAGTGGAAGGACTTGACTCCAGAAGTTGTAAATGCTCCAACACTGGAGGTTTTTAAGAACAACTTCCAGAGGCAAGCCATTCATGAATTAATTAATCAAAATAGAGCTGGAAGGGACCTTGGAGGTCTTCTAGTCCAACCCCCTGCCTAGGCAGGAAACCCTATACCATTTCAGACAGATGGCTATCCAACATCTTCTTAAAAGACTTCCAGTGTTGGGGCATTCACAACTTCTGGAGGCAAGTCCTTCCACTGATTAATTTTATCTCACCGTCAGGAAATTCCTCCTTATTTCCAGGTTGAATTTCCCTTTGATAAGTCACCAGGATCTCATTGGGGAAATATTGACATGGCAGCTTTCCAAGCGAGATGACGTCTGTGGTCATAAATACTCCTTTGAAAGATGGTTTGTCAGGCCTTTGCCTGAATGGGAATGAGAGGAAGTCCCATTTGTCTAATAAAAGGGGTTTTGTCGGGACCAGGAATCTGCCTCCTGCTTTTTGGGGAAGCCTAGGTCAATATTTCCCCAATGAGATCCTGGTGACTTATCAAAGGGAAATTCAACCTGGAAATAAGGAGGAATTTCCTGACGGGGAGGTAAAAATAATAAATGGGAGGGATTTCCCCCCCAAAGTGTGAATGCCC